GGAGAGACCCAAACCTACTGGGCCCTATGAACTCAGTGGTTTAATAAGTGATTTCTGGCTAGGAAGTTGTACGAGTATAAAGATCATCTAGGTCTGCATCATGCATCTCTTCCCTCCACGCCCCTAAATTCTCAGTCCCTCCCTTGAGGCAGGCTCTGTCACCCAGTTTCCTCCTACGTTCCAAAACATTGCTGCTAAATATAGGACATGTTTGACAGGAATGTGTTAAAACTGTCTCCACTATGACAGAGGGACAGAAGGCTGTAAACCACTGCAGGTAACCCGGACCCCCCTTGTCTGTTAGAACAACTTTATTCTCACTTTATTCTCTGAGAGATTAAAATGTCTGGACTCCCATCAACTTCTGCACATATGCACCATTTATAAGTCACCAGCCCGGGCAATGGAGCGTGTTTAGTCATTTTGCATAAGAACTTCCCTTGCACAACTTCCATATATAACTCATTTGGCAACCCCCTTTTCTACCCACTGAGGCACCAGGGCAAAACATGTCCTTAGGAGTGCTCACAGCCCTTCTGCTGTGGGCTCCCCGCGGCCAAGCAAAGAAAATTCCTGGTGTTACTTTCCCCCACCCCTTCTCTGCACATCCCCAACGCCTCCTAGACTCGCCTCTCATTATTCCCAACCACGGTCCTTCTGCTTGGGACGGTCTGGCTCCTCCCCCTGACCCACACATCCAGCTGCTTCTGCCCTTGTTCTCCCCTCTCCCTACAGCAGGGCCTCCTCTGACTCCAATAATCCAGATGCACTGCCTCCTCCCCCACGATACCAGCCCTGAGGAACCCCATTCCACTCTGATCATTGACGAAGCCTTATCATCATGCTCTTGTACAGATATTGGACTATATTTGCCAGTTTTCAATGCAATCTAGTACAGTTTTTGAGTCAGAATACTATTTCTAAGTTCAGACGCTGTTATTTACCAGAAAGTGATCCTGGGGAAGTTCCTTAACGACTCCAAGGTTCACTGTCCTCATTTGTCAGATGGAGATAGTAAAACCTAAGCAACATGTTTATGGAGAGAACGAATGAGGTGAAGTGATGGGAAGCGACTTCTACATTTTCAAGTGTTGTATGAATGTCAGTATCATCATTGTGTTGAGCTCTCTGAGGCCACATCTCTTACTTCCTTTCTATCTCACCCCTGGGTCACCTCTAGTGCAACATTGTAGGCTAATATCAGATGCAGAGTTAGGAATGAACAAAAGAAATCCACTTACCCAAGAGAACTAAGAGAAAACCATAACCACATTAAATCTGTTGTGGACATTGTTCCACAGAGTGAATCTAGGACCTTCTCTACAGGGAATCCTGACAGGGATAAAAATTGATTTGCAGCTCACTCTTGCAAATCTATGCTGAGAGAAAGAGGAATAGCATTAAAACTCATCCATTCCTCATTCAAATATGGGGCCAATATTGCTAACAAGAGACAAATTGACCTCTGGAACCCTTGTTAGGTTTCCCGAAAAAAGGCTGCTACCTCTAAATAACCAGCTTTGTTTTTTTTATCCCGCTTACAGAGATCATTTTTATCTCCATGGTATGATCAGTTTCTCTTCAACATCTGATGCAACCCTAGTGTTTTCCATTGCTTTCTAGCTGTGTCAGATTTCCCTAGAAGACAGAAATGAAAGTGATGACTAAGAAGATTGCACTAAAAATTCAAATTTTTTACCTACACATTGATTTCCCCACCCACCCCTCCCATTCCTGTCTCCTTGCCTTCCAAAGGGGGAAATCACCATTTTTACACAGCGTAAAACCTTCAGTCTGCACCTTCAGATGTTAGCTTGCGATCTTTAGGCGCCAATTTAGTTCATTTAGTTGGAACTACACAAAGCAGAACCTACTCCGTGAATTCAGACCTTTTTCTTTCTTTTTTTTTTTTCTATTTCCCTGACAATCTTCTAAAATGACAGAAAGGATTACATGCCAGAAGTGTGTACCCATTATGCTCTATTTCTCCTCTGTCACTTAGAAACAATTAGGCATTGACTTATCCCCTCCACGATGGCCCCTATTCCCTATCCCAATCTTGCCCCAACTCTAATTATTTAAAGCACCATGTCTAGGATGGAGAAAAACATTGGAAAAGAGAAAAACAGCATGAGGGGAAAATATAGAGTGAAACTATCTCAACGCACTCTTACAGAATATTTCCCCACAGAAACAAGATGAGATTTCTCATTTGGGGTTTTTTGTTTGTTTTTCTTTTTTTCCAGTGACCCAAACTTGAGTAATCCAGCCAGTACTTTGATGAATATCTAAGATCATGAAATGGTTATGGTGACATGTTAATGTGGATCATTTTCAAGTAGTCTCACTCCAGATATGATCACTCTTAAATCAAAATCACCTAGGGTTTAGCAGGCATTTTAGCCCCATTCACAACCAAAAGGCAGATTCTCTAGTTTGCCAAGCTAGCAAAAGTTGATTATTAGAAGGCTGAAACTGTCATTGAGGAAATCTTTTGCAAGGACGAATGGTACCTTGTGTACAGTTCAGAGCACCCTTTAGGAACTCAACACTTCAATATATTTGTTGAAAGCCAGGCGCCACAACTACAAAACTGATCAAAACCACTCCTAAACAGAAAAAGTTCATGGTCTCAGATAGACCTATTAGCAGGTAATTTTAGTACAAGTCAGGTAATGACAGATATACAGAGCCAGGGGCTGGAGGTACAGTAGGGACGTAGGAAGGAGTTGCCAGACCATGTCTGAGGCAGCGGTGCTCAACCTGTGGGTCGTGCGACCCCTTTCGGGGTCAAACAACCCTTTCACAGGGGTCGCCTAAGACCACTGGAAAACAAAAAGATATTTACATTATGATTCATAATAGTAGCAAAATTACAGTTATAGAGTAGCAACGAAAATAATTTTATGGTTGGGGGTCACCACAACATGAGGAACTGTATTAAGGGGTCGCAGCATTAGGAAGGTTGAGAACCGCTGTCTTAGAGGATAAGCAGAAACTGGACAGGAAAAGGGAAGAAAAAGACCAATCCAGGCAAGAAGAGTGGAATGAACAAAGAATCGGGACAAGAGGATGCCCTGTGCAGAGTAGAAAACATTTCTATCCCATGTGTGTTTTCTACGCACAGCTACATTTGTGGAGTCAAACCTGCCATTTTGTCCCTCTCTTGCCCTGGAGCCCCCTGGAGAGGGTGGTCTGTGAAGCACTACCTCTGACACCCACTGTGTGGCCACCTCCCTCGAGGCACTACTGATGGAGGCACTGACCCTCCATCAGCACTCCTAGGACCCTCAGAGGCGCCGGCGCTGTGCAATGATTTGAGGTGAGCTGAGGAGGAAGGCGCTCCCCTTTACCATGGCCGCTGCGATGGAGGGGTCCCCAAAGCAGCGCTCAGTGTCTTCCAGAATCAATGTCTTCCAGAATATTCAAAGAAAAAGCCCTTCCAGGCTTTACCTCAACCCACTGTGTTCCCTCCAAACCAAAGGACTCAGGAATGATTCCTGGGTGGGGGGAGGTGGAACTCTGCCATGGGAGTGAGGAAATCATTTCTTCCTCAGAACCCCCCACCCCCTCCCACTGAGCCTGGAAGCTTTGATGTGCGGCCAAGCTCTTTCTCCCTTAGGCACTGGCATCTCCCAGGAGTTCCTCATTCCAGCGCCAGCTGACTTACGGCCTGTGGCCTGTAGCCCAGTTTGCTGGAGGGCCCAGAAGTGCTCAGTCCTGACAGAGGAAACAGCTGAGGCCAGAGCTGGGGCCTGTGCTTCTACTTGAAGCACAAATGAGAGTAAATCTCCAAACATTTTCAACATGAGAAACTGTTAGCAGCAGATGCTTCCAGAGAGGGGAGCAGAGCAGCTAGGGGGAAGGGTAGAGACAGGCTGACTGTTCACACACTCGTTAGTAGCTGTGAGCTGTACTGTGCATGTGGATTGCCTATTCAAGAAGCATAATTTTCTAGAAAACTACATTGGAAAGAAAAGTTGTGTTGCTTTACTTTTTGAAACGCAGAATTTTCAGAATATTTTCTAGAACGTGATATTGAGGGCTTTCTTTTGAACTCAAATGGCTTGATCATCTTATGGGCAAAAAGTCAGTATGTGAAAAAAGAAAAAAAAGTGGTGACTAAGAAGACCAACCTCAGACACTGAGCCTGCTGAGCGATTTTAAATTTCTTTGCCTTTCTGTGCCTCACTTTTTACATCTATAATGTATAATGGGGATAAGTATAGTAACTATCTCACAGATGTATTGTGAGATTAAGTGAATTAATGCATGTGGAGCACCTGGTGTCTGCCATGTAGTAAATGCTGTATAATTGATTGTTAACAATCGTACTTATAGGTTGCTGCTCACATCTGTCACCTTCTGCGACAGATGAAAAAACCCCAGGTAAGTACGGGATGCCTTGGGGAAAGATGGCACGTAGACTGAGTATTCAAAATGAAATCGGAGTGCTTTCAAAGCCCCTGTCCCACGAGGCCATGTGTCTCCAGCCTGTTGGAGAAACACTTCCTTTCGTGCGAGCCACGTGTGGTACTCACTGTAGGACTTGAATCAGGGGCCAAGTTCAAGCATTTTTCCTCCACTAACCTGCCCTGTGGCTCTTGAGTAAACCACAAGTTCTCTAGTGTTAATTTTCTTCACAGGAGTGTCATAGGACCAAACAAGCTAATGTATGGGGAAGGGCTTTGTACCCACCAAAACCCTGCCAACAAGGTGCAGTTATTTCAAAAATACACAATCGACAGCCTATCAAAGAGAACAGCCAAGTTAAATAGAATGAGTGTCTCACTGCCATGAGAAAAGTTTACTTTTTGGTAAGATAGCAGTGGTTAAATCAACTGCTGAAGGAATAGCCCCCTCACAGACCCCTCTCCTGGTGGGATTGCTGGCAACTCCTCTGCCTCCCATCCCAGCATAGCAAAGCCCTGAGACTCTGTGGGGTTCCCTTTCTCTTCCAGACATTCCCTCTGGGGTCCATACTGAGTCCTTTCACTTACCTGGAAATAACTTGTCCCCTTCAAATCCAAGGCACCAAATCGTACTGCCGGTTCTAATATAATAGTTCAATCCACAACCGCTTTGAATCCATTCAAAGAAATCTCAGAGATCCAAGTTCACCAGTTTTGTGACTTCAAAGTCAGTCAGTTAATTTCTCCAGGCCACAGCTTCCTCACCAGGAAAATGGTATTTCAGGTTCCAAGAGTCACATGAGTTTGGCACAAGTGCAAACTTAGTTTCCACTGTTTCCTATCTCCCTGTCCCTTTGGGTTAATTCCATAAACTTCCACCCCGAGACCCTGGCTGAAATCCACCTCCCTCTCAGTTCCCTCAGGTTTTGAAGAAGGTGGGTCCTGACTTGTTTGAGTTCTCAGGTGTGAAAGGTTGCTCTCCTCCCAGGTGGCCCACCTGGCCGGGGTTCTCACACAGCTGTTGTTTAGTAAATTTGTGCTTAGTGAAGAGACAAAGAAAACAGAGCATGGATGAATGGATTAGCTTGTTCATTTAGTCAGCAGATATTTACTGAGTATCTGTTATACACCACAAAGTATAATGCAGTAAGAACTTGACCCACCTGTTAGGTGGAGGTGGAAGTGAGGAGATTGGGGTGGTGTTTCCCTGAGGAAGTGAAGTCTGACTGAGATCTAAAGGATGAGTAGGAGGTAATCTACTAGAAGTAGTCAAGAAGGAAGAAATGAATGGATAAATAAATGGATATATGAATGAATGAACTAATAGACCAATGAATGGGCAGCCCAGCCTGACGCTTGATTACTAGCACCTTACCTCTCATTGGGTTTCTTTTTCAACGAGCACATCCTTGTTGCCAGGCACAGGTGGTTACATTTCATCACTCTATAAAGCAGGTGTGGGTCCTGGACACCTACCACTGTGGTTAGAAAAGAATTTTGCAGCATTTATATAAACGTTTCTTCAGTTTCTACTGTGTGGAAAGTAGTCATTCTCCAAATGGAAGGCTGAGAAATGTCACACTTTTACTACTTCAGAAGATTCACTCCTTTCAGCTCTTTACTAATTCAACCCCATTTTTTTGTAATTGATGGCTTCCATTTTAGTCCTTTCCATTATCAACTTAATTGAAACACTGCTACAAATTGGCTACAGCAATTTAGATTATTTTTATTTTGCAATAGAATCCAATAAATCCAGTACAGAATTTAGCCATGTCTTTCTTTCATGAGGTGAAAATCCTCAAGGGTGGGCCAGCCGAGTGGCTCAGTTGGTTAAGAGTTGGCTTAAGAGCGCGAGCTCTGAGCAACAGGGCCACGGGTTCGATTCCCTCATGGGCCACTGACGCTGCACCCGAGCTGAGCTGCTGCTGAGCTGTCAACAGGTGGCACGATGGCTCAGCTGGTGTAACAACAAGATTGCCTGTTCGATGGTGGCTATGCCCACCACAACTAAGATTGAACACAGCACCTTGAGCTTAGAGGCCACGAGCTGCCGAGGGGCAGCCAGATGGCGACTGGCGCCCTCCACAACGAAGACTGAAGAACAACAACTTGGCCGGTTCCCTTCCCCAATTCCCCAACACCGTTCCCCTCCCCCAATTCCCCAATAAAATCTTTTTTTTTAAAAAAGGAAAGAAAATCCTCAAGGGAGATAAGTTGACTAAGTAGAGAGAAGAAAAACTTTTGTCATTCCTGACAAAGGGGGAGGGGGAAAAAAACCCAGTAAATGTCACTACTGACTAATCCCATCTGGTTTTGTAAGGCCCTGGGGGTTTTAGGGCTTTCCATGTGGTAAATTAAACAGTGACATTCCTCTGAAAAAGGAATGTGCAGCATTTGTTCCCTGGAGCACTCACCTGGGGCAGGGGTGACCAAGAGCCTGAAAGGTGAGCAGGAATTCTGGGCGCAAGTACAGTGTCCAACTGCACCCCCACCTGCTCTGCGTCCCTCACCTGATAGCTCTCCCCAGGCCACTGTGGGTTTGTGGAGGTGCTTTTCAGCACATGTCTCTCCTACTGTGTCGCTTACTCTTGATTCCACCTACACCTGACAGGACAGTGGCTGGTGAGGTCAGATGCCCAGATCTGTTCCCATGAGCCTGCCCTGAGCTCTATCAAATCAATGTGAGTCCTAAGAAATAAACAGGTCACTGTCAAAAGCTCAGAAAGCATTTTTGTTGTTAAAAGGCAGCACTTACATTATGCCGGTATTCACCGGAGAAGGAGTAGGGCTGGGCAGCCAAGGAACTAGGTCTTTGCCGTGGCTTTTAAATGCCACCATGTTTGTAAGCACTTCTTATATTTGCCACTTTCTTTTTCCCCCATCAGGTTGAAGGCATTAGATTAAAAATAAATTTTTGCAATGATGGCTCATTATAGGAGTCTCTCTACTTTTTTGTATGCTTGAAATTTTCCATGATAAACAGTAAAAGAAAGAAAAATAAATAAGAGCATTTAACATGCTCTAGGACCCTTGCTCTTTCATTTTCTCCTCTTCAGCCCCACCTAAGACTCCACAAATAGGGAAACTCTGAAAGCTGAACTCAGGCTACATGAGTCTGCCCTGAATCCCAGCTCATTTTGCTCAGTTGCTTAGACGGGGACTCAACTTTTTTGCATCTTACAGCCCATCAATATTTCCACAAAGGAACTCCATCTTACCGTGATTAAAATGAAAGGTCCATTTCTTCTGAGAAGGAAAGTATATATTAGCAGGCATTCTGATGCTCTCCTTACCTTTTACTTAAAAGGTAGATGTTCTAAGGACATTCATAATTGCAATGTTATGATTACTGGGAGTAATTTTTATTTCGATGTCTAGAAAACATAGTAACAAATGATGATGTCATAGGAGTTGAGTTTTGCAATACAACAATTGAGGATTTTATGACTACCTTAAGTGTAAACCACAGCAGAGATAAGCACTGAAAGTGAATTCTATAAATGTTACTGCCACACACAAAAAAATCCATTGAACATTTACCAAGTTAATAATAATGCATAGCATGCTTGCAAATAATGATGGGGGTAAAAGTACACTGGCTTCTTAGGAACTGTTATAAAAACTCCATGTTCCACCTACACAACTTCTAGGTCACAAGTATTCTACTCCCAATGAAAAGCTGTTCTCTTAGCAGGTGTTTTTTAATAATGCCCAAAGCCAGGACAAGTCAATGTTCACTTTCCTCCTGGCCCTGTTATTGAAGACTGGCGGACACACGAAGACGACAGGGCAGAGAGCTAAGAACTCGATGCCAGCTCTGAGCACAGTGCTATTCCCTCCCCTCCCCACAACACCGCAGCTTGGCCCTGACATTAAACCAGCTTTCTGGGCTCTGGGTGAGAGCTGGAAACAAACTCTTCACGCTCCATTAAAGCATCCACTGGTCATTCAAGAAAAAACCTTGAAATCTGCTTGATACTATGGATCATTCTGAACTAACAGGATGATGGTGAGTCTGAATTAGTGAAAACCCCCTTTGAGCTCTAATATGATTCATAGAACAGTTTTTTTGTTTTTTTGGTTTTTTTTTTTAAGATTTTTGTTGGGGAATTGGGGGATGGGAACAGCGCTGGGGAATTGGGGGAAGGGGAACAGACAAGTTGCTGTCATTTTTTTGTTCTTCAGTCTAGTTGTGGAGGACGTTGCTTCACTGGCCCAAGTTGGCACCTTGCGCTCTTCCCGGGTGAGGCAGATCAGTCGCCGGCTTTTGGACGGCCGCTCACTTGCGGCTGCTGGCTGCTCACACTGGCTGATGGCTTCATACGGTATCCCATGGCAACCCACTGCCACAGGGACTGCAGCCTACACCGTCGCCGGCGACTCATGGCAGCCCAGCTCCAAGTTGAGCTGTTGTTCAGTATCTTAGCTATAGAGGGCAGTGTCACTGGTCCTCATATGTGGGATCCGAACCGGGGCCTTCTGGCATCCCAAGCCAGCTCTTAACCAACGTGCCACTCGGCCGGTCCCATAGAACAGTTTTTAAAAGTAGTTTTATTACTTTCAAAAGCATGGTATAACTCTAAGGTAGGCTAACAAAGGACTGTTTTATGGGTACCTCTTGTTTGGTGACTAGGTAAGAAAGACTTTCGATGTAGTCATTCATTAAGGTCTAAAATGTCCAACTAGAGCTTTCTAACCATTTGTTCTCTAAGCTTTTTGTTTGTCAATTTTTAAGCTTTTTTTTTCTTAATAGAATTCTACTCACATTCCAGGATAATAGCAATGGCTTTTGGCCAGTTTGGATTGTCAAATTTACTACTGTCCGTTCTGTCTTAACTAGGTTAACCTCTTGTTAGTGCGTCAGTTGCATGCAAGATTTTCAGAAGGAAAAGCTGCGTTACCCAGGCTTTCCTAAGAAACCATCTCCAACAGGGACGTGGAAGACACATCGAGGAATATAATTGATGGTGTTGTGAATATTGTGTGGGGTGTCAGGTGGTCACATGTCTTGCTAGGGAGACCGCATCATGGATGGGGAAGAGGCTTGATCAC